CCCGACGCTGGGCCCAGTCCCAGGATCCTGGGATCATGACCTGAGCCGAAGGCAGATGCTTAACCGATTGAGCCACCCAGGTGCCCCACTGAGGTTAAGAGTTTAGACACTTGTAGCAATTTGCCAGAGTAATTTTACGTCTGTTGAATCTGATGATAAAATAATTGGGGCCTGCATTTTATGTGTCTTTTTATTTCAGTTTTCTAATAATTCCTTCATTTTTTAATTGCAGTATAATTGACATAACATTGTATTAGCTTCAGGTACACAACACAATGATTCAATATTTGTATACATTGCAAAATGATCGCCACGGTAAGTCTAGTTAACCTGTCACCTTACATAGTTACAAAACTTTTTTTCTTGTGATGAGAACTTACAAGATCTACTCTCTTGGCAGCTTTCAAATATGCAGTACAATATTATTAACTGTAGTCGCCATGTGGTACATTATATTCCCATTATACGTTTATTATATTTTACAAAATACTCATCTGGGATGGATTACAAGTACCAAATAAGCCGTGGGTAATTTGGGAAGCATCGATTAACCCCTTGCTACTCAGAGGGGTCTGGAGACCAGAAGCATCTGTGCTGCCTGAGACCTTGTTACAAATGCAGAAACTCAAACCGCACCAAGACCTTCTGGATCAAGACCCCTGGATGACCCAGTTGAACATTAAAGTTTGAGAAACGCTGTGCTTCTGTCCTTTCGCCGTTGGACAGGTGCGATTATTAAAATCTCTTACTCCTATCGCTTCTGGTTCCACGTCACTGTACCTGACGTCATGCAGGAAGGAAACCTCATGTGATAGTACTTTGAATATTCAAAGACCACTATCACTTCCAACACTTACTTGACAAATAACTGTTGAACATCTATTCTTTGTGAACCACTGGGCTGCATTGCCAGGTTACAGTGATAAATAGGACTCTGGCTTTAAGGAACTTGAAGTTAAATAAAGGACATATGAAATGGGATATGTACTTAAATACCACAATAGCAACAGAACTTGATGGACTTCTAAAGTGCTTGGGAAATCTGTAGCAGGAGAAATTATTTGTACCTGCGTGGAGGTGAGGGTGCAGGTGCAGCCTGTGGAAGGTGGAGTGATGAGGAATAACTTTTTGTGGAACTGACATTTAAGGCAGTCTTTACAAGAGGGGTAGGAATGGAGTGCGCAGGGATAATACCAGGAGAGATCAGACATTTCAGATGTTTAGAGACTTGATAGTACAGTGATTCATTTTTCATGGGCTTTGAAAAGGATCTGCTTTTAGAGAAGTCTGAAATGGTCAGTGCTCATACCTACAGGAATCTTATTTTCTGTCTTCTTAGCCATCTCTCACTGAGACAGAAAACTGTATTCTTCATTGTGAAAACATATGATGGTATAGTCAACTTCAGAACACAGCCGCCGTGCAGTCACGTGGTTGAACACTGAAAGGAAAGGTCTGCTTGTAGCCCCTTCCCCCCAGTCCAGTCCCCCTCCTCCTTCCACCATCCATACCAGGCACGGGCAGGCACAGCCAGCTCTTGAGTGAACATGGATTACTTTAAAATAAGAACAGCTCCAGTTCTAGGTTGAGGTTCCCCCACCCGAACATGTTCCAGAGCTACAACCTTTAAATAGCGACCTTCTCAGTCTGGGTCTGGTCAGGAGACAAAGTCCACAGAGTAACTTCAACAAAGAAAGCTTAATATAAAGAATTAGAAACTACAGCAGGAGATTGGAGTCATGAGGGATTAGCTTGTAAGAAGTAAGGAAAACTCGGGCGCCTGGGTAGCTCAGTTGGTTAAGCGACTGCCTTCGGCTCAGGTCATGATCCTGGAGTCCCGGGATC